CTCACTGCAAATCATCTGTAAATTTGTCTTCAGGTCTTGAAAAGGTATGCGAAAAGTCCACTTTGATTAGACTGATGCTCATGAAGCTCTTATTACCATACACATGTATTAGGAACTCAGTGTAAGATTCGGATTAGAAAGGAAAAGACATTTTGTAGAAGCTAATTCTGTAGTTAACGACAAACCTTTTTATACCTAACTACGTTCTTTTGCCTCTTAGATATGGCATGAAACACAGATAAAGCCCACTCTTGAGTGGCTATGGGAATATTGAAATATATTTTAAAAGCAAATAGTGTATTTTAATGTTATTTGTTTTTTAGCACATATTTTTTCATCCTACGTTTAGCCTTTTGTATTGTTTCCAGGTTAATCTTTCTAAAACATAGTTGATTATATTATTCCTTTGTTAACTATGTAATGATCTTAGGATTTCATATCCTGCTTATGTTTGTCTCAAAACATCATTTAATACCTCTTCTTCAGTAACCTGTTCTGACCATAAATGTGTACTTTTCCTCCAACTTTCACTTTCCTATCTGCCTTTGCCAGGCTATAACCATGCCCCAATACCTGCCTGCCTGCCTGCCTCTCTCTATATCAGGAAACCTAAAATTTTCAATATATACTCCATTTTCTTCTTCCTTCAACACCTTCCTGAGTTGGAAATACTTTCCCTTGTGATGTTCCACATTATGTACTTTGTCTTGTGTCCTTTGCTTCCTCACCTCGTATTGTAATTTATTATGCTTATCATAACTTTAATTTGTGCTTTTTCCTTGTGATCCACTTATAAAACTCCCATGGTAGTGTCTTTTTTATAGAAATACTTTTATTTATTTATATATATATATATATAAAACATCTTGCAACTTTCCCCTCGACCCCCCTTCAACTACCTATGTGTTCACTGATTTTTTCCTTTGTCTCTGTAGGGTCCAATGATGCCATTGCTCCAGAGTTCCCGGCCCAGGTGCTCGGCACAAGGGATGATGACCTCTCAGACACCATTAGCATTAAGCACAAAGAGGGGATCTACAGTAAGAGGGCAGTGGGGAACAAACCCTGTCTGAAGGACACTGCAGGTAACTGAATCAATTTTGTGTACGTATATTGCGGCATCCCCCCGCCCCCCATTCATCTCAAATTAAGTGGTTTGTTCTTTAACCTGTTCTTGATTTGCTATTTAAATATATCTCCTATGACGATAATTCAAAGGTATTGCTGTGAAATCATGGAAATCTTTATTAAAGAAAATATCAAAATGTGAAGCTATTGCTTCTCGACTCATCCTCCATCTAGGTCTGTACACTTCTGAAGGTGGTGTTTCCATCACACTGACCCTTCCCCCAAAGATTCTGCGCTCTTTGGTTTACACTACATTCATATGGCAATTCTCACATCCCCAAGGGACTCAAGTCACATTTCTTTTTAGTGTTCTTTGAAATTGGTGATCAAATAGGATTCTGAAGGGGCAAGGTCAGGGCTGTAGCATCATGCATGGGTGAGGTAAGGCTGCCCAACAATTCTAGGACAACACTAGCTGCCCTAGAAGAATGATGGCTACGTTGTCCTCATGGGGGAAAAAAGCCTTCCTTGCAAGTTTTCTGGCCTTTTTCTCACCCATGCAAACAGCTTCATAATAACCTTCATGACTTTCCTGTGTCCTTGAAGAAAATCTTTCAAGATTACCCCTTGGGAACCCCCTGGAACCCTAAAAGCAGTCTCCATAACTTTTGAGTTGACCTTTGCCTGTAATGTAACTGGCTTTGCAGATCCCCTTGGAAGTCATTGTTTTTGATTGGATCATTTTATATATATATATATATAAATGGCACATATTTTTTCATATATACAAATCATTGCAGCTCGTATAACAATCCATACATCAATTGTGTCAAGCACATTTGTACATATGTTGCCGTCATTTTCAAAACATTTTCTTTCTACTTGAGCCCTTGTGGATCATCTTTTTTAAAGTCAGCCAAGTAAGACTAAGACAAGTACTGAGAGAACTTGTCTGCATGTTTTGAAATCCTAGTAGTAATACTTTTTGACTTATCTTCTTATATGGGT